ATATATATATATATAAGTAAATTCAACCAAGTTTTTAGTTTGTAGAATATATATTTACAGTAAAGTAGATACGAGAGAAGAAATTGACATCACCCTCATTTTGTATTCAAGGGTTAATATTTAACGAATTTGGTGTCCTCAAATGTGCTGTCTCAGCATATCTTGTTGCTTCCTAGGTTCACTCATTATTTTCAGTTACTTTTGAGTTGCCTAATTATTCAACTGTGAACATCTTTGATACAACTTTTCTTAGGCTTTTTTTCTTCTAAATAAAATATACCATGTTTCAAAGTAATAAAATTCCAGTTGATAATACATATCAATATCACGTGTTTTTAAGAGGGTTTTTATGAGCTAAGAACAAAAGATAATAAGGATATAGTTGCTTTATAATCAATTAATATAATGTGATTATAGCTCAAATATATTATCAGATCTTGATTGCTTTAACTTTTCCAATCTTCCTTGCCATTGTAGATAATAATGTTTGTTTAAACAGATAATACTGATATGTAGACGAAAAATATTATCAAGTTCACATAATAACAAGAAAGCGAATTTCTATGTTGGAATAAATTAATTACTCGTGCTAAGTAATATGGACGAAGTTCCTATAACTAGGCCTAAAATATGACAAGCTTATTACAGTGAAGTATAAGTCGCTTAATGGGTACAGTCTCTTGGGAAACTGAACTGTAGCTTCTATTTGCCTAATCCGAAAAAGCTTCCTTATAGAAATTAGTAAAACCATTTGGATTAATAAACATCAACGTCTTACGTAAGGACTGGTTGTGTTGGAAGGAACGAGACGCCAGCTTATAGCCAAATGATACAGCTCGGTTGTCAACTTGAAGAAGTGACATGCGTTACCAATTCCCTGCGGGTTGGCTTTCGATAGAAATCTCTACTTGGAATGGTAAACGAAATCGTTAACGTTAGAAATTACATAAATACGAGATCTTCTGTGCGCACAGAAAACGTCAAGAATTCGAATGATGTGAATCTAATGAATATAGCCTTGGAACGCGCGTGTTAAATGAAATATCACTTCCATAAAACCATGTTTATTTTTCTCAGTATAACTAGGAACCACAAAACAGGACTACATCATTAAAAATAGTTAAAGCAAACGATACTGGTGTGTAACAAAGTACAAAAGCAGTACTATGTTAAACACCAGTAGAATTTCAATAGATTTTTTATTTAATATCCAACCTACATCAGGTTTATAGGTTGTTTTTTTTCAAATGTTTCAGGCGGTCGTTATGAATTTGAAATGTGTATCAAATATCATGAAATTTAGCGTTTTTTTTGTTTGTTTTTTTCCAGAACGAAAGAAGCAGAGGCTATGTACGAACAAGCTCTTCAGTTTGACACCCACAACCCTGACCTTTATCATAATGTAAGTCCGGTTTAATCTCACAGAATTAAACACACATTAAACAACTAAATCGATATTGAGACCGGCTCAAAAACTGAATATCAGATCACATGAACTTTCATTAACTAAACGAATTAAATTTTATTTTGGGTAAAAACAATTAAGGTATTGTGTACTTAAGCGCTGTAACAATAGGTAGGCACTAATAGTGCCGTGATTAATATAGTTAAGAGCCGTTATATAAATGTGTCTGTGTATAAACAAGTTCATTGAGACCTAGAATAACGCTAGAATTCGGGTTTCGATAGCCGTGGTGGGCAGAGCACAGATAGCCCATTATGTAGCTTTGTGCTTAATTACAAACAAACTGGACATTGCAGCATCATAATCAAATACGTGCGCTAAGTTGGATTTGTCTGTTTAGAAGGTTCA